GTAAACAAATATCTATGTTAAAAAAGCACATTTTACATCATTCAATTCTTATACAGACTTTTAAAGTAGACATTGTTATTAGTCCAGTTTTACAGATGAGAAATCTAAATCAGAGAGCCTTAGTATTTTCTCAAGGTCACACAGGTACTAATTGGCAGAGCTAGATTTGAACCCATGCGTTTATATGCTAATCATTATGATTTACAATCAGCAATGATCTTGCAAGCATTGTTATACATGGTTCATGCTCACCTAAAGCTTAGTGCCTCCTTGGGAGAGAAGACCTATATAAATAAATCAATTTGACTCTTTTTTTTTTTTTTTGTGGGACCCTCGCCAGTGGCCAGGGATCAAACTGGCGCTGCAGAGGCTGCGGGTGGCCTCGCAACTCAGCGCTCAACCGCTGCGCCACCAGGGGAGGCCCTAATAAATCAATTTGAGAGTAACTCAAAGAAATTAAATATATTATGAGGCATAGCATCCCTTCATTATTGGTATTAAACCTCAGACTATACTATTCCCACTAAAAATCTCTTGTTTTCACTGTCAATTAGTTAAATAGTAGGATAGAGGCACAGAGGAAATTAAGACTTAGGTGTACTTATTAAAGCTGCCTTTATAATTTTAGAGATAATGGAGATGTCCATGAGTCCAGTAATCACTCCCATGAACTGTCATGGTCTGTGATGTGACATTCCCACCACAACTAATTTTCTTAATAAAAGAAAGAAGAACTGAATTCAACAAGAGTCCAAACATTGGGGAAGAAAGTCATGACAGGGTTAAGACATCTCACATTTATATATTAGCAGTGGTAAGCACATTAGCCTGGCTTAGTTGATCAGATTAGCTCACAGTCACTTTGGAAAGCAGAGACCTAAAGAGATGTGGAGTTAGAGGTGGAAAAAGGTAGGACCTGAAGCCCAGCAAAGGTAGCAGCACAAGTGTGTGATACGCCTATGGAGCAAGGGTCAAGACGCACAATTTGGTTTCTACCAAAAGTGAAGGGGAAGCAGAATGTCTATAGATGTTTCCCAACCAATAGCTTTGTCTGGTAATAGCATCTACAAACACGCTATGTTTCAGCTAGTGCCATAACAAGATAATTTGCGAAATTCAACTTCAGTTGAGTTAAAGAACTATTTTTATCAAGCACTTCAATATTTGGATACCAGTCAGTTATTTATATCCCATGGCTGATCACATTTAAGACACAATAATGACATTTTTACTACTGCAACTTCTCTGAGATAATTTCTTACCTTGTGTGTCTCCAAAATGAAACACAGTCATGTATGAGAGAAAGAAGAGGATTTGTTTTAAATTACATAAAACAGAAAATGTGTTACTTGGTAAAATTCACATTGGAGCTGGTCGTTGTATATTTCCTATTTCCCATGATCATGGAAGGATGGGAAATCCTGAGAAATTTAGAAGCTCCAAAGCTTTATAAATTAAGGAAAAATTAAGCCTTTAGGTTCAGAGCACAGAAATAGCAGTCAGCATCTATATAATTTAGAAAAAATCACAAAAGTCAGAACTAGGTGCTATGGACTGAATTGAGACCACCCCCCCCCCCCCGCCCCGCAAAGCTTACATGTTGAAGACCTAACCCCAAGTATGACTAAATTTAAAGATAGACTCTTACTGAAGTAATTACAGTGGTTAAATGAGATCATAAGGGTAGGGCCCTGGTGCATACGATTAGAGTTTTCATAAGAATCAACACCAGAGAGGCCCCCTGGTGGCTCAGGGGTCAAAGTCTCTGTGCTATCATTCTATCACCAGCCACTGCAGCATGAGTTCGATCCCTGGCCAGGGAGCTAATCCACATGGCGCCACAGACCTCTCCTGTCTCTCCCACTGCTCCCCTCAGCAGTGTATTTCAGTAGAACCGCCTGTTCTGCTCCCCCAGTCTGTCTCTGGTGAATCCTCTCACCCCCCACACCTCTGGCTTATACCTCAGTTCTTGTATGCATAAATAAATAAAAATAAATCTTTAAAAAAAAAAGAACAAACACCAGAGAACTCCTCCTCTCTCTGCCACATGAAGACACAGAAAGAAGGTGACTTTCTGTAAGCCAGGAAGAGAAGCTTCTCTAGAAACCATCCCTGCCATACCTTCGTCTCGGACTTCTAGCCTCCAGAACCACGTGAAGATAAATTTCTGTGTTAAAAACTCAAAGCTTGTGGCATTTTGTTAGAGCAGCCCCAGCAGACAGATATCAGAAACTATGTTTCTATGTGATTTTTGACCAAGAGAAAAATGGCAGAAAGTTTGAGAGAGCAAAATATTAATTCCCAAATACAAGCCCCACACTGAGATTTATTTTTTATTAAGTTGGTTAACAATGCTACATAATTCAGAGGTATAGGAATACACCTTTTCAGATGTATGTTACCACACCGCACCCACCACCAAGGCACCTATAGCCCTTCACCATAGTTATTTGGGTACCATCTACACCCTACTCTCCTCCCTCTCCCTTCCCCTCTGATAGCTTCAATTTTACAATCAGACTCCTAGGGTTATGGTTTTGGTCTATCTGACCCCTTGTTTATATAAAATTTGGAATGCATAATAACAAGACTAAGAAACAGGCAGATGATTTTAGAAATTGATCTAAAAGATTGCCAAAGGCACAGCTTGTTCTTTCAATAAAATTTTAAAAAACTAAAGGCCATTTCTTGGAGTGTGGAATAAATTTTTTTGAATGGTTAATATGAGTCCACAAGTGAAATATCCTACTTGGCTGTACAAATCTCCACTGTACAAAACTGACAATGCAATATTTCCATAATTTTATCACATAGGCAAGAGTAGTACTACTCTTGCATTTCCTAGTTTTATTTTAATATCTGATTGATGTATATTGTCTATTACACTTGCTTTTATAAATCATTCAGAGACAAAAGACTGTTGACAAATTCTCAATCAATATGCATTAGTGTCAAGAACCAGCAGCAGGCAATGCCATTTTGTCTTTTGTATTAACTTTCCAGGGTTATTATAAGTTTTTTAGAATTGATTATGATAACATGAAATCAACAGACACTTCTATTACAATTAGCATATAATCATGAGGTTTGAATATTTTATTTCAATAAGTACTATCCCAAAGAACTTAAAGACATGGTAACTTATATTAATCTGTTATTTTTTTATATCCTCACTTTGATTTTAAAGCAAATAGCAAAACATTAGGTTGGTCTATATGACTAATTTGTTCACTCATTTAGCATTTTCGTGAAGAGGCAAATGACATAGTAGAGAAAATAAAGACGTGGGAGATTTATGTGTCAGAAAAAATTGGCTTTGAAACTTCGCTCCATCCAATCTTTCGAACTCCAGTGATTCTGGAGTGGGAACTATAGTGAGGGAGACAGTAAATTGAAACCAGTCCAAATGTTGGGAGCAAGTATTAAAGCAAAAAAATTAAAAAATCAAAACTAAGAGTTGGGTTTACCATTCGTTGGAAAAGCACCAATCAACTCAAATGCAGAGCTGCAGCATAAACCAATAAAAAACTAAGATGAAATAAAAGCAGAAGATGGATGATATCATTGCTTAAAACTGATTTTGAAAGAGAGAAGGGAGATGACAAAGGAAGAAGAAAGAGTGCAAAGATGTATCAATGGTAATATATCATCCATGACTTGAAAATTTCAGGAAAAATTACAACTAGGTGGATTCCTTATGGAATGTGTTAGTATGTACAATAACAGATTTTTCTAGATAATGGAAAGGTAAATAAGCAAAGATTGAATTTGAGTGTGCACTAAGAATAAATAAAGTTCTATGTGAGGACATCAAGGAACTTCCTAAGAATGCCTCTACATGTTTTTGATAGATTTTTTGATGTATTTCACCTTCTGAAAATTCTAGGCATACTTACTGGTTTACATTTGCTTGATGAGTAACAGCACCAAAACTTGCTTTAAGATATGGAGAGACATTACAGTGTTAGGTTTTTTTTTTTTTTTTTTTTTTTTTTAAAGAGAGGCAGGTATTTTTATTTATTTATGTATTTATTTGTTTGTTTGTACATGCACTGGGTACAGTCAGAAGTGCAGGAGGGTGAGAGAATCCACCAGAGCCAGAGCGGGGAGCAGAGCAGGCAGAAGGACCGAAGTACACTGCTGAGGGGAGCAGCGGGCGGCAGGAGAGGTCTGCGCGCCAAGTGGGACCCTCCTCTGGTGGCCGGGGAACAGCCGGGGATAAAACTGGCGCTGCAAAGTACGCAGGCAGCTTCGCAACCCAGTGCTCAACCGCTGCGCCACCGGGGAGGCCCCAGTGTTAGGTTTTAAACAGCACTGTGCCCTAAATTATCGTGATTTATTTTTTATTTTTAGATCATCATTCTTTAATGTCATTTCCGAAGCTGGATTTATCAAACCACATTAAGGAAAATGGCTCTATTATTACCATGTTAATTTCCATGAGAGTGTAATGTTGTAAGACTTAGCTCCAAAATAAAATTATTGCTCCACCAGGTGATCTTAGGCAAGTAATGTAAACTCCCTACTGGAACAATGTCTGGTACATAGTAAGTGTTCATAGTAAGTGAATATATAATTATTAATAAAACTATTTGTATATTTGTATTGTATAAAATATTGGGATATAATTTTATGAAATCCAGTAGCAAACAGTAATAAAAGAAAATCGGTAATAAACAATGTTCACTAAGTACATATGCCTAAACTGAAGACATGTTAAGTTAAAAAAATAGACATACAATGAATTACATAAAATCCTTAGAGGCATAGACATCTTTAATAATACAAGTATTAAATTAATATCCTTTTACAATGCAAACAAAATTGTACTGATACTCTAATACTCCATCGCTTACAGATAAACCTTAACCTACTTGGAAACTGTCTGCTGGACTATATATATATATATATATATATATATATATATAAAACATAGAACATATATATATATATATAAAAACATAGAATTATGTAATCATTACTGTTTTTTCATCTTACAGATTATAGCAAATATAATTTTCAAAATGGAAGACGCCAAAAGCCAAAATCTGGAGGAAGACTTTGAAAGACAGTCTATACATACTGGTAAGAGAAACTTTAGAGAAAAAAAATATTAAATTAAAATTAATCTGGAGGGCCTCCCCGGTGGCGCAGCGGTTGAGCGCTGGGTTGCGAAGCTGCCCGCAGCCTCTGCAGCGCAGGTTCGATCCCCGGCTGCTCCCCGGCCACAGGAGGAGGGTCCCACATGGCGCACAGACCTCTCCTGCCGCCCGATGCTCCCCTCAGCAGTGTACTTCAGTCCTTCTGCCTGCTCTGCTCCCCACTCTGGCTCTGGTGAATTCTCTCACCCTCCCACGCTTCTGACTGTACCCAGTGCTTGTATAAATAAATAAATAAACAAATCTTTTAATAAATAAATGAATAAAATTAATCTGGAAATCTCTAATGTTCTTATCGCCAAATTTATCTTGAAATTAAAGCAATACCTTTAAATGATAGAGCTATCTAAAAAATATTTCAGCAGGTAAATTAATGTGAAATGGGAGACTCTTAAAGCACTTTTATTTAGATGTCAAAAAAACAGTAACCATTGAGAATTTCTTGCTGCCCAACTATCATAAAACCTCTCCATCTAACCATCTAACCTATAATTAACCACTATCTTATCTCCTCTTTTCCCTCAATTTGAAATTTTCCTTCAATTATAAAGTGGTAAGGCAAAAAGACAAATAAATTGAATTTTTTAATTTTAATTTGTTGAATTTAAAAAAATTAAGAGAATGATGATCCAGTCTTAAATTGATTTCATTTCATGCAGAGCCTGTTTTCTTAATCTGTTAAATTTTGTGGGCTGTCTAGATGTCACTACTAAGAGTTTTAAAAGTCAAATAACATTCCTCAAAAGTAAAATGTCAAGTTTCTTTTAAATCTATTGACTCTTATTTGACTATATCCCTTTCTCTTTGGATAATATTAATTGGAGACTTTCAATTTAGCCAGATGTTTGAATGAATTCATATGAATACTATATAAAAAGCATCGGAATTCATTTTATTTTTTTAAAGATTATTTATTCGTACATACAAGAACTGGGGTACAGGCCAGAGGTGGGGGGGTGAGAGGATTCACCAGAGACAGAGTGGGGAACAGAACAGGCAGACTGACTGAAATACACTGCTGAGAGAAGCAGTGAGCAAGGTAGAAGAGGTCTGCTGTGCCATGTGTGTAGCTCCCTGGCCAGGGATAGAACTCATGCTACAGTGGCTGCAGATAGCTTCATAGGTTGTGTCTTAATCCCTTGCACCACCAGGGAGGCCCCTATTTAAAACTTTTTATCTTCAGGAATTTAGACCTTCCAAGTACTGTTATTATCAGGGCAAGTGAACATCAGAATTTTAGCTGGATCATCCTTGACTTAATTAATTAATGTTTTCTTAAACCTGCAAATTCTATCTCATTTTTATTTGTAAAAGATTCTAAGACTATTAGGCGGAATTGAATGGTTATGTAACAATTTTCTTAGAACCATTTTAGTTTTTGTTATTAACATCAGTCTCTTCCTCACTGGATAAATCGTTTGACTGCTCTTGTTATTTTCTGGATCTTGATAACATTTCAATTTGTTTTCTAAACAATCCTAGTTTCCTTTATTAATAGTGTGGTGTTGATTATGGTTTATTGCTGAAGACTTTTTCTTAGTTAATAAAAAGTGCTATTTTTCTAAAATTCTAGTTTTCTCTCTACATTCTAATTTTATATTAGCCTTGTATTTTCATTAATGCATATGATTCAGAAAGACAAAGTCATCCCCAACTATAAGCATCCATTTTTATATAATTAAGATTGTATAATGTATTGTGCTATTCACACACCATGAATATTTACCATTTCAGAGTTCAAACTGTATCAGTATTTTGATAACCAACAATGTATTACCGAACTCAATCTGGAAGAAAATAAAAGTAATCCTATCCTTCTTGGTGACAAAAATTTCATAAAAGCCATAAAGTTAACAGGCCTTTAGATAAAGATATTGGCAGAGTTATGATTAAATACTTCATTTGCTTATTGTTTAGAAAGATTATTAACCAAATTTACTTAACAGTGTTAATGTAAGAACATTTTTATCAGCAAGGCAACCAAAAATTTGTAGCCCAAGTGTTTATTTCCAATGCAGTATATGACAAGGCTATTCCCATGACGATAGTTACACAAACACCAATTGTATAAATAATCCTTATGAAAACATAAAAGGAAACAATTTGTTTTTGATTTTATTCCAGGACCCAAAGGAGTAATACATGATTGGAGAAAGTTTAAATTAGAGAGTGAAGACAGTGATTCAACTCTACCTAGCAAGAAGGAAATTCTGAGACAAATGTCTTCCCAGGGAAGAAATGATATAGATTCAAAAGAAAGATTCAGCAGAAAGGTAAGATAAGGTAAAATCACTAATAAATTATTTACAATGTGTTTTCAGTCTCAATAATACTAAAATAATGTAGGACCTCTGACTACCAACTGGTTGCTGTGTGTTGATTCACATTCATACAGCAGAAATATACTTGGTGCCAGCTTTTTGGCCCTTGTAAAAATCTTCAAGTCTAAGGTCTTATTTTCAGATGTTGGTTTCTTCACTGATGTGGATGAAAGAATTAAATTTTTCCATCCAAGGAATTACGATAGTACCTCTTTCACTTGTTTTAAAGGGGTGTGGAGAGAAATAATGCAAATTGTCTTGATAAGTGTAAAACGTTATACAAATATGTGACAAGTATTGAAGATTTTATACTAAGTTAAGCTTTAGAAGTGTTTAAGAATAGAATAGCTACATGCCTAAATATGTGTAGGGTAAGTAAAGAATCAGGTTTTTCTGCCCTCCTGCCATTACGACTGATGATGGATCTCTGTGGTCCTGAACGCATGCCTGATGGCGGGCACCTGGAGTAGGGTGTGGGCAGGCATAGGTTGGTACACCTGGGCTGAGACTGGGCTTATAAGGGCGGTGTCATGGGGATGCCAGCGGAAACAGCAAAGCGAAAGACAGACCAGAGCAGAACCAGAAGAAGAGAGAGAATGAGGCCATGAGAGAACGCCAGAGAGCCTAGAAAGAATGAAGACTTGCTGGGGGCTGGAAGGCCTGCCAGCCTCCCGGCCGCCCAGAACTCTTGCCTGCTGTGTACCGGGTAAACCCCAATAAAAGCCTGCAAAAGCCACTGAGGGCTCCAGGACTTTCCTCCTTCACCCGTCTGCATAGAATCATAGAACCTGCCCTGTGTCTTCCTGCTGCTGCAATATGTGAATGGAGCAAATTTTATAAGAATACTCAAAAGCATGTCAATCAATATTTGTATGGTTCAGTCTATTAACTTGAAAGAACTATGGTGTAAGCTAAATGAAGATTGCTCAGGCTTCTGCGGCTCTCACCTTTGGCTTTGAATGCAGGAGGAGCTGGGGAGTGTTAGCTCAGTGTACGAATCCCTCATGGTGGACACCTGGAGTATGGTGTGGGCATGCGTAAGTGAGCACACCTGAGCTGAGAGACTGACCATATAAGTGCAGCATCACAGAGGATGGAGGGTGGCAGAGGACCATCTGGCACAGTGCAGTGGAGTGGTAGGGAGGAGCTACGAGAGGAAAGAGCAGAGCAAAGTGTGTAAAGATTCACAAGGGGGCCTGTAGGGTAAGTGAAAAACGCAGGCTTTTCCACCCTCCTGCCATTAGCATTAATGATGGATCCCTGAGGGCCTACCTGCATGCCAGATGGAGGACACCTGGAGTAGGGTGTGGGCATGCATAGGGGGGCACACACAGACGGGGCTTATAAGGGCAGTGTCACGGGGACGCTGGCAGAAGGAATGAGAACAAGAGTAGTAGAAGAGAGCAGAGAGAATGTCAGAGAGTCCAGAAAGAGTGAAGACTCTCCGGGGGCTGGGAGCACTGCCAGCCTCCCAGCCCCCTGCCTTCCATGTACCTGGTGAAAGCTCAATAAAAGCCTGAAATCCACCAAGGGCTCCAGGACTCTCCTTTACCCATCTGCCAGGATAATAGAGATCCTGCTCTGTGCCTCCGTGGTGCTACAGGGCCCAAGTTGCTGTCTCCCTGTGGGCTTGTTCCCCCTGTGAACTATCAGAAAACCTGTGGGGATGATGCCAATGGCTCCAAGTTTCTCTTTTAAGCTGCCTGAACCAATGATGAACCTACCTGGCCTGGGATGGTTGCAGAACATATGATAACAAATTATACAAAATTTAATTTTGAGGATCAAAACAAATTAAGTTGGGACAACAATCTTAAAGAAAAAATCTGATTCAAGCCATGAGGACATTAGGAAAATAAACATAAGGGACAGAAACAAGATAAGGAGGTAATGAAAACATCAGATACTTCTACTAAATCTGAGGCTAAGCAGCTTCTGTAAAATGAGAGTAATAATACCTACATGATAGGTATTGTGGTAAGAATTAAATAAAATTATTTATGTAAAGTACTTGGACTATAGGCAGTTTCCCATAAGGGCTAGTATGTCTTCTAAATTCTCTTCTTTATAAATTGTCAGTGGTTTCTGTTTGAGAGGATAGTAGTTGATATAATGGCGGCAGCTGATCCTCCGGGAAGCTCTTCAGCTTCCATGGCTCTGGGCTGCTTCACAAACTCTTAACTATACAATGTCCCATCATTACTCCTGGGGAGGAGGTGGTGCGTGCGTGTGCGTGTGGTGTGTGTGGCGGGAGGGGTGGAAAGATAGAGGTGGGAAGAAAGGGGGTGCTTAACATTCAGTTCAGTAAGTCCATAATGAAGTAGTCAACTATTAAAGGAGGTTTTGCAGATATTTTTATATTCCAGCTGCAGTGAAGAGAAGCTTTTTTGGAAGGTGGAAGTTAGGTCTTCTCTCACTTTAGCCTAAATCAGTGGATAAAAATCACCTGGAAGATTTGTTCAACTGGTTCACTCAGTGTCACCCTCACAAGTTCTGATTCCAAAGATCTGGGGTGATGCCCAAAATTTGTACTTCCTAGAACTTCTCAGGAGATGCTGATGCTGCTGGGCCAGTTTTAACTTCTTGATTAATCTAATGAATTCCAAATAGTAGTAAAAGTTGTCTTGACTTAAATTCTATCTTATGTAGTTAAAAAATAAGTAAGTGGTAAGATACAATCTTTTTTAACAGCTTTTGTGGAGGAGACAATGTACCAAGGCATTTGTTGGGGGATCATTTAAATGCACAGTTTGTGTGTGTGTCTGTGTGTTTTATAAAAGTCACTCCAGAGTAGCTCTTGTTGGGTTATTTTCACCCAAATTGATGGGTAATTAAGTGACTCATTGCTGAGATCATGGTCATCTCATGGTTGTTTCTACTATACTCAGCAATAGTCCTGCATGCAGTTCATCATGGAATAATTCCTGAGCCCCTATTATGTACTGGACACAATAGCAGATGTTGAAGAGTGATGAACAAGATGAATAAAATTCTTGCACCTTGGAATCTATCAGTAATAAAAAACTAATATTAAACACATACATATATAACACAATATGGGTTCATATGAAGAAAATATGAACCTGTAGGATAAATGGAAATGATCAGGATTTTTCACCCTCCCGCCATGAGCACCATGATCAACACCATGGTCTTAACACATGTGCCTGTTAATGGCACCTGGAACATGGTGTGGGTATGTGTAATGGACATGCCTGAGCAAGGAGACTGAGCCCATAAGGGCGGTGTCCACAGAGGATGGCAGCAGAGGAAGGGTGGAGGCTGAGGACCATGCAGCCAACTGCAGTAGAGACCAGCAGAGAAACCAGGAGTGAACACCAGAGAGCCCAGAAAGAGTGACGATTCACTGGGGACTGGGAGGCCTGGCAGCCTCCCGGCCCCCAGGCTTCCCTGCCTGGCCTGCCCCTGGTCACCTCACTACAAATGGTGTAGAAAAATCAGTAAAAGCCTGAAAAAGCTACTGAGGTCTCCAGGACTCTCCTTTAGACCTGTCTGCCTGGATCCATAGAGAACCTGCTTCATGCCTTGCTTGCATTACAAACCAGTATACTGTATAGAAGGAACTCAGGAAATATCATCAAAGGTGATGATACATGTTTGAACAAAGACTTATGTGAGATAAAGGAGAAGGCATATTAGGAATTGGTGGGGAGGGGACCTCTAGGCAGAGAAAAGAGCAAATACAAATTCCTTGGGTTGAAATTTGGTGTATTTAAGGGATATAAATTTCTGGTAAAATGATCTCTTTAATTTCTTTAATCTATTTTCAGATGAGTACTCAAGAATATGAACTAATCCACCAAGACAAAGAAGATGAAAATTGCCTTCGTAAATACCGTAGACAGTGTATGCAGGGCATGCACCAGAAGCTGAGTTTTGGCCTAGGTATGGGTTTTTGTATGAGCTGGAAACTGGAGAGCAATTCCTGAAAACCATTGAGAAGGAGCAGATCACCACCATCATGGTTCACATTTATGAAGATGGTATCAAGGGCTGTGATGCTCTAAACAGTAGCTTAACATGCCTTGCAGTAAAGTACCCTATGGTCAAGTTTTGTAAAATAAAAGCATCTAACACAGGTGCTGGAGAACGCTTTTCCTCAGATGTACTCCCCACACTGCTCATTTACAAAGGTGGGGAACTCATATGCAATTTTATTAGTGTAGCTAAGCAGTTTGCTGAAGAATTTTTTGCTGGGGATGTGGAGTCTTTCCTAAATGAATATGGATTGCTCCCTGAAAGAGAGATGCATGTCCTAGAACAGACTGACATGAGGGAAGATATTGAATAAAGATTCACTGTGTTAATAACTCATATTTCTCCTTTACACATTGAACTTTGGTGTGGTAGTATCTTTATTTCTTTAGAGAACGCCAATGATGGTCATGACTGCTCTATTCTGGGGGAAAAAAATCTGATTGATCCAAAAATTATATGATTAACCTTTCTTAATATTAGTGATTCAAACATATAATGCTTACTACAAAACACTTTAGCACCATGTTTGCCATAATCCCTTTAAAGTTATGTGTTGGGCCTCCCCTGGTGGTGCAGCGGTTGAGCGCTGGGTTGCGAAGCTGCCCACAGCCTCTGCAGCGCCGGTTCAATCCCCAGCTGCTCCCTGCCACCGGAGGTGGGTCCCACATGGCGCGCAGACCTCTCCTGCTGCCTACTGCTCCCCTCAGCAGTGTACTTCGGTCCTTCTGCCTGCTCTGCTCCCTGCTCTGGCTCTGGTGAATTCTCTCACACTCCCACGCTTCTGACTGTACCCAGTGTTGTATAAATAAATAAATAAATAAATATTAAAAAAAAAAAAAAAAGAATAGTACTGGAAAAATGATATTAAAAAAAAAGTTATGTATTGACTTCTTCACTGCTTGTTTCCTCAGTGTTATTACTTGTATTTTTCCCCATATTATTCTCAAATTACATTATTAATTATAATTTTGCTTATGTAATAAAAAAGTCTCATGAGAAAATAAATTTTCTATTTGAAGTCTATTCTTTCTCAATTATTACATTTGCAAGGACCTAAAAACATATACCCCCAAATGCTTCAGCAAGGCATATTTCAACAAAAACTAATACACTAAAAATTTAGGCACACTGTAGCACATTAAAGTTGAAAAATTATCTGTTAAAAATACTATTTCAGGGCCTCCCCGGCGGCGCAGTGGTTGAGCACCGGGCTGAGAAGCTGCCTGCAGCCTCTGCAGTGCTGGTTAGATCCACCACCGGCCGGCCTGCTGCGCCTGCTGCTCCTCTCAGCAGTGTACTTCGTCAGTCTGCCTGTTCTGCTCCCTGCTCTGGCTCTGGTGAATTCTCTCACCCTCCTGCGCTTCTGACTGTACCCAGTGCTTCTATAAATAAATAAATAAATAAATAAATCTTTAAAAAAATACAATTTCAGAAAAATACCGTGCTTTCACTCTTTTTTTCTTAGACCAGAGTGGAAGCAAGGTATTTTTATTCTCTAGACAAAAGAATATTTAGCAGTAATAATAACTATGGTTGATTGCCTATTATGGGCCAGTATTCTATAAATATTGTCTCTAATCCTTTTTTAAAAGATTTATTTATTTATACATGCAAGAACTGGGGTACAGGCCAGAGGTGGGGGTGGTGGTGAGAGGATTCACCAGAGACAGAGAGGGGAACAGAACAGGTAGACTGACTGAAATATACTGCTGAAGGTAGCAGCAGGTGAGACAGGAGAGGTCTGCTGCCATGTAGGTAGCTCCCCGGCTGACCAGGGATCAAACTCGTGCTGCAGAGGCTAGGCATAGCTTCACAGGTTGCGTCTTAACCCCTTGCACCACCAGGGAGGCCCAATATTGTCTCTAATCCTTAACACATTCTGCAAGCAGATAGTATTATTTCCCTTTTATAAATGATGAAACTGGAATGCAGAGAAGTGAAGTAGAAGGTCTGCTTCTATTTCCCATGAAAACACTCAGAAAACTCTTACACAGACATGTGGAAATGCAAAATAAAAAAAATATAAAAGTCAGTGAAAAGCAAGATAAAAGAAATTTCTAGGTGTGTGAACCAGAGTGGAAAATGAGTAAAGAAATGATATGGCTTCTGTCTGAAGACATGTGCCTGATAAAGTCACTAAAACAGGCTCCTTGTGAGACGTGCTGATAGAACATTTGCATGTTTTCCTCTGGTGGGTCAATGTCGAAACTAGAAGTCTGTCACAAATTCTAGTCTCCATCCCTAAGACTAGTTTATTGCTTCTTGTCTCAAAACTTTTACACCCTTTTCCCCCCACTCCCAATTCTAAACACTTCACCTTACTCATACTTCATCGAGAACATAGAGGATCTCTGATGAGACCTACCACATCTTTTTGTCAACAATCTGAACTGCATAGCTATATGTAAACACTACTTGCACAGCCGTGTGGTAGACGTGTGCATGCATGCAGCTGGCTAAGGCCCTCTGATTAGACTGTGCTGTGGAGCCTTCTCACCTACACAGCCATTTTTCTCCTGCAATAATGCCCCCTTTCCATTTCTCTATGTTGCATTATTCACAATGAGACTTATAAATGAGTTTTTAAACTATCCACTATTTAAAATAGTCCCACCTATAATTTGAAATTTCCAGCTAGCCCTACTATTTTACAATCACATTTCTTGGAAAAGTATCTCAAGTCCCCATCTTCAGTTCTCATTCAATTTTTGTTCATCCCATTCCAATCATACCTTTCTAGAAAGCACTCTGAGAACAGCTGTAGTCAGACTATAAACTACAGTGGCCAGTTTTCATTTCTATGTGATGCTGTCCCTATAAGCATGTATCAGATTTGACCTTCTCTTTTTGAATCACTTTCGGTTTCTTTGAAAACACTTTCTGTTTATTTGCCTTCCATCTTATCTACTCCTACTAAGTAAAGAAGGATAGTCAAATGTGTATCTCAAAACAGAACAATATCTTCAGAATAAAACAAAAGTTCTTTTCTTTTTTTTTTACATTTCTTTTTTTTTATTTAAATATTTTATTTTATGTAATTCTTACATCTTTTTTCATCTTTGCACAATGTACGCATTTTCATTTTGGTTATATTCCCCATACAATACAAAAGTTCTTTTCAAAGAGCAGTCATCATTAACTAGTATAGTGCTGCTTTGTAAGGCTGAGGTGGAAAGCTAAACCGTGAAAGAAGACTCTCATCTATGGAGAAGACTAAAAATGAGTGCTTTGAAAGTTCTCTTTCAATGAAAGCTTTGCTCCAACAAGAAATAACGTTCCATGCACTAATTTAAAAATAGAGAGTTAGCAAGTTTAAGCAGGACTGGACCCAGAAATGTGTTTAACCCATAACTGTCAAAACAAAAGTAACTAGGTGGCATCTGTATAGGGAGTAAGTGATGGTAGCAACCATCCTCAAAATAAGCACTTGGTGACTAAGGGATACCAGAGTGAGGCTTTGATCAGAACATTCAACAGGAAGAGTTGGACAAAAGGCAGGATTTGACTAGAACATTTGAAACCCACTGCTAAAGAAATCCTGGATTTCAAACTTCCCCATGTAAACACTTAATTCATATTTCATTTGGCAGGAGGAGAAAGAGATCATTTTGGTCTCAGCAAAAGAATGACGTTTTAAATGTAAAGGTTTGAAATGTCATAACAAATCTAACAAAACCACCCAAATAGTAACTGGAATAGACTTGAGCAAAGAGCCACGAGTGTTAGTTGTGAAACAATAGGAAAAATTGTAGGGAGTAGCAGAATTATCTTGTAAAGTGAGATGCTACTATTGGTCATGCAGCGTTCTTGACATCAGGGATTTCAAGGTTAAAAAACTGGAAATTTAAATAAGCAATAGATGGGAAGTGCTTTATTTGTGTCTTTTTGCTTTAAGTTCTATCACCATGTTGAGTATTAATATTCCAGCAACTACCCATAATCTGGACTCTGTTCTTTGACCAAGTCTCTTGATCTCCAATAAACTACTTCACTGGAGCCACTCACTTCATTTGCTATCATGCATTCTTATTTTTCCAAATCACAATTCCAAACTTCCTTATTTATTATAATAACCATGTCTCCCTCCTTATTTACTTGTTGAGTCTACTTAAATTTGGGGTCTCTGATTTCTTCTAGAATTCCACTGCCCTCATGGGTTACATGACATTATCATTTTGTCAAGGCAAAATGTTCTCTCTCTCTGTCTGTCTCTCTCTCCCCCCCACCTTTTTGGATCCCCCTTTTTTTTCCTCTTTATTTACTTCTTTATTAGCTTAGATTGCATGGTTCATCAATTAAAAATATTCTTGCCAGTATCTTAATTTTCCTGGTCCTTCTTTGCTGTCAATTTAACTGTTAGACAAAGACACAGATTGTTTTTCTATTCTTAAATCTGTGAGGACAAAGAGTGCTGAGGGAGGAATGGAAATCATAATTTCATTCATTTTGTTTTTTTTAAAGATTTTATTTATTTATTTTTGCATAAAAGAACTGGGATGTGGGCCAGAGGTGCAGGAGAGGTAAGAGGATTCACCAGAGACAAGAGTGGGGAACGAACAGGCGGATCTACTGGAATACACTGCTGAGGGGAGCAGAGGGTGAAACAGGAGAGGTCTGCTGCACCATATTTGGGTGGTGATAGCACTGAAACATAACCCTAAGGCCATCAGGGAGGCCCAATTTCACTCATTCTGTATTACTGACCTCAAGTGAGTCTTTAGCAACTGGCAATCTCTCTACATTGCTGTGGTCAACTTAGTTTCCCATACTTTGTAACAATTCTTTCAAATCTTCTTTGTTTCCCTGTTTCTTCACACTCAGCAGATGACATTGCCAACTTCATGGAAATCTGCAGACATCAAATGAGATCATCTTCAATTTCCACTACCAAAACTACAAGCTCAAAAATCCTTACACCAATCCTCTTTCTGATTTGTTAGATTAGATGCTCTTTCTCTTAAGGTCAATAGTTGCCTATGCTTTAACAATCCTCCCACCTTCTCAGAATTGTTACATTAGTGTTGTTTTACTCCTGGATGATCATGCCTTCTGTTTCTACATGTTCAAACACTCCCTTTCTTTACTTAGTCTTTCCCCTTTATATGTACACCTCAGGGCTTACCAAGTCATTTTCTAAACTTCAGTTCTGAGTTGTTGAAAAGGGCATGATAAAAGTGAAATACTGTGCAAATTGTAAGGCACTATACAATGAGAGTTATTTTAATGTTAGAATTTGTTTAACCTAAAGATCAAGGGAATTGAGTTCCCATGATTTTATTATTGTCTAAGTGGAAGACGTGGGGGTATAACTCAAC